GTGTGTGTGATGTACGAGCTACTGTCTGTAGCCTGTGTGTGTGTGAGTGTTACAGTGCAGCAGCGCATTAGATTAGAACGCCGATTAACTTTCCTGTGCAATAAGCTGTTTAAAACATGCATTCTCCTGTTCAATGTCGAGCATCCAGTAATAACATGTGTGATTATGTCTTGTGGAGCGCTTTCAGAGTATGCATTTATTTGTCATTTGAACTGTCTGGAAACGGAGCGTAAATGTGTAAGTCCTTCAAAGATTTCTTATCCTGTTGAGCCCTCTATAGGACCAGCGACTAGTCGACGTCAAGCTCAAAGCGTCATGGCAGAGCATTGAAGTCGATTACATGGTATTTATGTATTTATACATGCATCTTTGTGTCTTGCAGAAAGGTGAATCGGTGAAGAAGATGCGAGAGGAGGTGAGTCTGTAGCTGTGGTTGAGGTGGTTTTCTTCATGTGTTAGTGATCGTCTTTCGAGCCTCTCTAAAGCAGCCTGTTGTTCTCTGTGCAGAGCGGCGCTCGGATCAACATTTCTGAAGGGAACTGCCCCGAGCGCATCATCACCCTCGCAGGCCCCACCACCGCTATCTTCAAAGCCTTCTCCATGATCATCGAGAAACTAGAGGAGGTACAAACCACTCGCTTTACTTCTCTAATCAGGAACTTTTTTTTTTTCTTCTTTTTTCAAAGCCTGTTAAATGTTAAAAATAACGGGTTTGGGTTTACTAATGTTGAATGGCTATAATTAATGGCTAGAATTGAGGGGAAAGTGCATTTAATAGAGACACCAGTAGCAGTGTTGGTATCAGTGATACTGGCCGACATTGGCTACTTAAAACATGCCATTAAACACATTTAAAACATAACATCTTTGTGTTGCTTCTACATTTGTTTGGAGATTCCCTGTGAAATTGACAATATAAATGTATTAAGTGTTCATATGATGCTTTTTTTTAAAGATCATTATTTTGTGTATTTGGTGTAACGGAATATGTTGACATGCTTTAATGTTAAAAAAACATTATTTTTCAAATACTGTACATTATTGTAGGTCCTCTATGCCCCGCCTCTCTCAAACACATAATTTTCTACAAAGTTCCTCCTTCCGACAAGCGCAGTCTGCTCTGATTGGCCAGCTGACCCAGTGCATTGTGATTGGCCGAACACCGCAAGCACTCGTCGGAAATGTAACGCCCCTTACCATAATCACCAGCTTCATCTTTCAAAATAAATGTAAAGACAGTAAATAATGTCATTAGTTTTACAACTTGAAATCGCATCATATGACCCCTTTAAGTGTTTTAATATGTATTTTTTATTTATCGATTGACAGCACTAGTAAATATTGATTACTGCTCAGCGGTTAGAAGTACTGAGCACAGCATGTGTAAAGCATGTGATATTGTGTGGTTCATTTTTGTTTGATCAGTCATTTCAAAGAATTGCATTTGATTTGTAAGAGAAGCCGAGCAGCCGTGGTGTCAGTGTGGTAAAGTGTGAATGTTCATGTGCACCAGGACATCAGCAGCTCCATGTCCAACAGCACGGCCACCTCGAAGCCCCCGGTCACGCTGCGGATCGTGGTGCCGGCTAGCCAGTGCGGCTCGCTCATCGGCAAGGGCGGCTGCAAGATCAAAGAGATCAGGGAGGTGAGCGAGGTCACTGTTCGGCTGCAACTTTGTTAGGGAACACTGGAAATCAAGATGACTGTTAAACTCTGGGTTTCTGTCTGTAGTCAACAGGAGCTCAGGTACAGGTGGCTGGAGACATGCTGCCTAACTCTACTGAGAGAGCCATTACTATCGCTGGGACCCCGCTGTCCATCATCGAGTGTGTCAAACAGATCTGTGTGGTCATGCTGGAGGTAAAACTCACACTCTCAGCCTTGACTCTGGCTGCATAGTATTGCATAGTACACCCAAAACAGAGTTCCTATGTGTCTAAGTTCTTTCTTTTTTTTTTGGACCTAATAATATTTAATCAATCATTTAGTGCACTGCAAGTTCATGCTCATCTGCATACACGTTTGGCAGCCACGCCCACATCTCAACATCCAATCAATAACTGATGCATAGAACCAGATCAATGTTGGAATTATTATTTGACCCGTCGTCCCTCTGCTCTCGTTTCAGTCGCCTCCCAAAGGTGTGACCATCCCTTACCGACCCAAACCCTCAGGATCGCCTGTCATTTTTGCAGGAGGACAGGTGAGTGTGTATGTGTGTGTTAATGCCACCTGCAGCTCTAGTACATGTGCGTGTGCTTGAATGGTCTCGTCTGAAACGTGTGTTTTGCAGGCATATGCGGTGCAGGGACAACATGCCATTCCTCAGCCTGATGTAAGAGACGGTTCTGGTTCTCTGCAACACAGAAGGGTTTGAACCCATTAGAACACTTAACAGATGTAGTGATCTGACTGTTAAATATCAAATATCTTTGCATGCTGTTTTCTGTGTCCGCAGCTCACTAAACTCCACCAGTTGGCAATGCAGCAGAGCCCGTTTCCTTTGGCCCCCAGCAGCCAGGGCTTCTCTGGTAAATCCCGTCTCTCAGACACTTGCTCTGCGTCTGCTCTTGTCATTGGCTGATGGTGATTGTGTTTCTCTGTTCTGCAGCTGGTATGGACGCTACTGCACAGACAGGCTCTCATGAACTGACCATTCCAAACGATGTGAGTTTGCTGACCTTTCGTTTCCTACACGCTTCTGAGAGGATCTGATGATACGACGATATTAGGGCTGCCACAATGACTCGATAATCACTATTGACAATTATCAACCACAGACTTGATTAGCGTTTAATCGTACTGTGCCCAGAAATCAAATACCGTTTTAATAAGTCAAAATATTAAATGGCAATACTAACCGTAGTGAATTTTGTCTTAGTTTATCGACAGACTGTAACCGTTTCATCCCTGTTTGTAACCCTCAAACTAGAGTGAGTTTGGTGACTCCTTGTAAATCTTCAGGGACCCCCACTGTAAAGAGATATGAAAGTAATAATTATGGTGTTCAGATGTGCCTTCGTTACTTCTTACAGCTTTATACCTTTTTACTTGCGCTACTTGCAGCTAGTATTAGTTTTTGCTGTGATTATTGAGAATTGTGTAATTTCACTGCTATCCAAAATTGTAGTATCGCAGCAAAAATAATTACACTACCATTCGCAAGTTTGGACTCGGTAACTTATTTATTTACTTCATTTTTAGTAAGTCTTGTATTATTGCAACTCAGTTTTTTGCCATGAAGATGGCCCTAGATGCTGACATGGCAATACAAATAAATGACTGCTACTGCTTTATTGTTAGTGCTTTTATCCAGCAAGACATTCATTTGATCAAAAGTGACAGTAAAGACATTTATTATGTTACAAATGATTTCGATTTCAAATAAATGCCATTCTTTCGTATGGTGACTGGGAAGGGACATGTTTATTCAGGATCTAGTCGATTATATTGGTACATGAGTAATCTGCCTGTTATCGTGACGATTAATCAAAAACCCAGATTAATATTCGATTGACAGTTAATTATTAAATCTTGCCAAACTATGTAATTCGAATGGTCGCTCGGTATTAAAAATGTGACCAAGGCTGTATGAAATGTGTCAGTAATTATAATTCACAGGAACATGCCATGAGTTATGACGACCTTTTTATGAAATCACAATGAATACTAATCTGCTCATCTGGAGAAATTGTGTTAACGTGAAGTTCACAGATAATGATCATTTCTATCTCATTTCTATGTATTTGTGCGCTCTGTTTGGCACGTGTTGGTGGAAAAACAATGCAGTGTGAACTTATGCATCATACATATTCAAGCTCTTTTTTTCACAGTACATATTGTAGACATGGATGTCAGACCTGTGCTTAAAATGAGTTTGCAAGTCAAGATTAAAAATAATGAAGTAAATCTAATGGTGAACTCGGCGTGCTGTGTCTGGCAGTGGATCTGTGAAAGCTGGACGTCATCTTTTCAGACGCCGCAGCATTAAAATCTGCTGTTGTGGAGTTCATTTCTGAAGTGACGACGGACAACAGCAATGTTTTTCATCTTTAATGTAAGGTGCTCGCACACAGTTGATCGATTTTGCCGTTTATTGGACGCACCCATATCTGTGCATTCCAGTGTCTCTGCCATTTTGCCGAACACCTTGTACACTTAAATGTAACAGGATTTTTTTTTAAAATTGGGTACTTAAATTTACTTGAGTAATCATGACAGCCCTACACAACATTAACTCTTTCCCCGCCAGCATTTTTGGAAAAAGTTGCCAGCCACCGCCAGCGATTTTGATGATTTTCACTCAAATCTGATGGCCTCCAGTATATGTTGCTGTTTGAATATTTGAATATGCAATACGCTGAAATAAAGATCAGAGCCTCTACTTTAAAAAAAAAAAATCTGTTTTATTCTAGCTTAAAGTATTCTTTTTTACCAACACTTGAATATAGGTAGGTTTCATAAAAA